TTACCCCATTTCCAAGCCCCTGCTGCACTCTCTGTAATCCAGTGCCCTGGCTAAATGATAAAAAAAAGTGTAATTCAGATGAGTGGAAAAAAACTGCAGTGACACACATTGGCGTACAACTGGCCGATGAAAATATGATGACAGTGAGCCTCAAGGTTAAATGTCATGAAAAAGGCTTGATGGTGGTGATGCACAAAACGCTGGTTTTGTATGCAGCATGCAATGAAACATAGAGTGTGCATGCATGACTGCCTGCTATATTAGGAATGTTGTGCACAATTCAATTTATAGGTGGATAAAGCTGTGCAGAAATCCGGCTGCTTAGATTATTATGAAGCCCATTCTTGTGTAAATGAACTTGTATGCATGCACAGTTCTCTCTATAAGGCAAACAAGAGAGCGTCTTACTGTATATGTGGAAGAATTCAGCTGTCTTTGTGCTTATAAGAAGATTTTCTGTCAGCTAACTCCTTGACATACATTAAATGCTTCCTTGGAAGAAAGGCCTGTACAGTAAGAGTGTTTAAGTCTGTAGGAAAAGATCATTTTCAGAAATGAAGCCATTTATCTATTCAAGGTGTGCATGGATTACTGAGGCACATTCAGATTATGATATTCTGCACGGGCTCACACTCCTGATTATCATCTTATCATATTATCATCACTGATCAAAGAAAAAAACAAAGCACTGCCATATAGAGGATTAGCTATGTGCGCATCTGTGGAATTAAGTTTGCAGTGACCTTATTGTAGTCTTTATAGTTACACTTTATGTATAATTAAAATTTTGTTTTTTTCTAAAAAAAATATCAAGGAATAATACATTTTGTCAGGGTTAAGACTCCTCTGCTTGTAAAAAAAAAAAAAAATGTTTTTGCGCACATTTACCTAAAATCACTGTACGGGTGGATTATCCAGAAACCAGCAGACTTTACTCGCTCCCTCTCATGCTCCACGGCCCTCTCACTTCCCAACATCCGCAGGGAGAACTTGTTGACTCCCGGTTGGAGCATCGCCCCGAACTGCCGGTGCATGAAGCCGGCTTGGTACAACCGCTCGTCCTCGGGTATGATCTGCTCGGTCCCCTCCAACTTGATGAAACTTGACTGGTCAAACGCAGACGCTTGCCCGGATGCACCGCTCAGACCCCCGGCTCCCCGCTGCTGGGGCCCGGGGCCGTGCTCACCGGGGAAACTCTCACTTATTCCGGCGTCAGCCTCGGGGATGAGGCGCCGCTGCTCCGCTGGATCTGACCCGGGAGCATGCCGCCCTGTGATGGAGGAGATGCTGCCCCTGAATAAGCGACAGTCGCCGTTCAAGTTGGTCTTCACAATCACCTCCCTTTCCCTGCCCAGGTCTTCGCTCCTGGCCTCTTCAATGCTCCTACAGCTGCTCGCAGGCGACGCGGAGGACAAATGTTTTAACCGAATACTTTTCCTCTTAGTGTCCTTGTCGCCGTTGTCTCCTTCGTCCATCATAAAGGGTTTTTGCCCAATGTTTTGCGGCAAGCTGTAGAGCCGTTTGCGCATGGATGACTGGAATCTTTCCATTGTGAAGAAGCAGAAGAGACGCGCTCTAAGGGTAGCCCGAACAAACAGAGGGATGAATCATGAATCTAACACACTTGGGGTGCTGCTGGAGGCAAAACAGTGACGGCGCATCCGCAGGACAGGTTGTATCTTCTTTGACACTTGGGACGTGCCTCTCTTTCCCGGTTCAACCATTGAAATGCGTCAACAATCCAAGGATCATTTCAGAACGGTGAATTGGAAACGCATGTAAAAGCAGGTATCCCCACAGCGTGCAGACGAGAGCGCATCGGGATGCAGCATGCTGAGCGGCGGACGTGCCGGAGTGGGAGAAGAACGCTGCTGCTGCTGCAGCTGCTGCTGCTGCTGCTGATGCTGCTGCTGCTGCTGAGCTTCTCAATGACAAAGCATCATCTCCACCTCCCCAAAATATCAGAGCTCTCTGTCAGTGCAAGGTGGTGACACACACGGACGCAGCCGGCTGCTGCATTCAAAGAGCGCTGACATCACGGATCCATCAGTTCCCCCCCCTCCACCCCCCTGCCCCCCCGCCCCCCTTCCACTTTCTAATAACGTGAATATCGATGGAGCTAATCTATCGGGTTGCCATAGGAGCCAGAAAGGCACACGCGCTCACCCCGCCCCGTCAGGACACGCGGAGAGGATGATTCAAGGATGCGAGCCAGCCTTGGAGTTGACAGTCAACTAGTTGGGAGAAAAATGCGATGAAGGCACAGAGCCTAATCTCTGTGTCGACAGGCCTGGAGAAGAAGAAGAAACAATATTGTGACAGAGTCTGCCAGCCAATTTATGACGACACCTTCAAAACAAACACTTTCTGTCAAAGCTTTTATTTGCACGCTGTGTTTGATCTGTATGTATTCAACATGTCTTATCGATTATAACTGGTATGTTTCGTTCTTCGATATTATAATGTCTCACAGCAGCGACAAACCCTTATTCATGAAAGTGAAAATTAAATGTCCATTCTGATGTTTTAAATAATGTAAAATGCGTAAACTGTCCTCCGAAAGATCGTACTGAGGAGTGCAGTAAAGTTATAGGGTTAAGAAGAGGTGTGCCAAATGGCTATTGATTCATATTCTTAACACGTAGGAATTATGATAGAGATATACGTTTATATCATTTTATAACGAAGCATAACAAAATGTAAACCAGGAAGGAGACGTCTATTTTCTGATTCTGTTTCTTCTATCAGAGCCAACAGGCTACATCCACATCTTAAACCAGCTGTTGAATTTACATTTCATGAGCACTGCAGAGCATTATGCTCAACACTGTCCTAGTTCATGACGATTTGTTTGAACATCACTGACATCATTGTGTTATAACCTATTAGCCGTCTATTTTTTTCAGTTGTGACTAATTCAAATCAAATCACATTATTCACAGAGGGGCTGTTTGTTTAGGCATTTACACAATGCAGAACATATAGACGTAAAAATATATGCTGCAGATATTTCCCAGTTCCTTCTATCAAGGCAGATGCTTTAACACTCTCACCGGTGCTGTGTTTCATTTTTATTTCCGTAAGAAGACATTTTCAGTCTTGTAAAGTGATGGAACACCTCTCTGACACAGACCAACAATCATTTGGTGAGCTTGTTGACAGCTGCTGGTGTCACTACTGATGTATGGTTTCATACAAACCGCACTGATGTGCTTCAGACTGTACAGGAATTTCATCATGCCATTGGAAAGGTTTCTTCAGCTGAAACATTTTAACCAATAATCCAAAGAATCTAAATGAATATGAGTAGTCTGCCATGAGACTGACTTCCTTTTTTTTTTTCGACTGTTATATTAATATTTTTATTGTCCCAGGTCACATTAAAGACAATAGACGTTTCAGCTTCAGGTTTGACGTTTTAAAATGCTTCTTGTTTTTTTTGTCTCTTCCTGCAGATCGACCTGTTGTTTTCATTACTGCAGCTGATGTTTATTAGAATTTCACAATCTGAGCTTTATTCAGTTCACTTCAGTCATCACTCATGTTTGCAGGCAGCGATACCTTGTAGTCGAGTTTTCTAATTGTTCCTCGCTGTATCCCCTTTGAGACATACTGTACGTGTGGGTTTGCAGAATAAACTCCAAGCGTTATAGCACATGTCTAAAAACGCTTTGTAAAGCAATAAATGATCGCTCAATGTAAAAAGAAATGCATATGACCTTCAAGCCTACAAAATCTTCACAGATCATATGCAGTCGTCATTGCTAATATTGTAGACATGAATATGTTTCCTATGTTTAGTTCTTAAAGCCCACATCATACGTGTACAATAGGTTGTCAATAGGCAAGGCAGGCAACTGCTTGGGGCCCCAGACCGGTCCGGGGGCCCCTGAGGACTGAACATTTCTAACCAAAGCTGTGGCCCAAAATGTGCAAATTTTGCAATGACAGTAGAAAACCTCCCTAAGTTGCCCTGCTACGCGTTGCACGCATTACTGCTGTGAAAATCAAAGTTTGTCGATGAAAGTCATTTTTTATGATGATGTAGAGGAACTATCCGTTTATAGCAGAAAAAAAATGAAACAGGCAGACATGATGGTGATGAACGCTGGTTGGACAGGCCCCCCCCCAAATGATTTTTACCTATAGGGCCCCAACAGACTCTAGAATCGCCAATGAGGTTAAGGGTAGCTAATAGGTTATTCAATGTTTTTCAACTCATAAGTTGGCTCGTGTACCTCCTCATCCATCAGGAAGCTTTGACATGAAAACACTTTTACAAGATTTAAACCTGGAGAATAAGACACAACAATCCACCCTGAGCGTGACGTCAAGGCAACATGGCCACTGTCGGAATATGGTCTATGTTAGTTTAATTCCTTTATATTAGAACCAGGTTGCAAATTACTGAAACACTCTTGTAATTTACAGGTACACAAAATACGAATAAGACACTCGTGCATATAACTAAATGAATAGAAAATCCATGTGGTGGGAAAAAAAAAAAAAAGCATATCCAGGTCACTTCTTGAGCTCCATACTTTGGCACTTCTGTGTTTCAGTTTTTTAAATAATTAGCTCCCGACTTCTTTGAACAGCTCTTTTGTAACTATAGTACTCAGAACTGCTGTTATCAGATTATTCTCTCTTCAGGCTGTAAATGAACAAATGTTTGCTTTTCAGGTTGTTTTTATCTGATCGTCCTTTCCAGATGGTGAAAGAGCCACACGATGCTTCTGTTTTATTTTGTTCTGACAGTTTCGGGACCTTTGCTCATAAAGTGAAGAGATAAAAATCAATGTTAGTTTGTCCTTGATGCTCTGACGTTTTATGTCCATCATCATGTTAAATGTGGAGGCTGTAAGTCACTGAAAATGTCACTAGATGGTGCTGTTCTCCACAAGCTTCACCCCCCCAGCGCTCCATGAAGCAGCTTGTTTATTTTCAGCTACTGCACAAGTCAACGTGTGTTTTCAAATAAATCAACTCAAAAGGCACACTCTCTTTTTCCAGATTTTTATTCTTAAAAATGAGTCGCGATCTTGCACATGTGTCAGTCCTGACGTGGGCGCCTTTTTCTCCGCCTCCCATGTCAGCTGGAGAGAATTCATGCAGCTGTGCAGTATGTATGCCATCAGCGCTCTACCGTGATCCTACTAGTTTAAAGCTTTGTCACATAGAAATCAAAAGCTGCAATGATTTTCAATATACTGATATGGATAATAGTTGCATAGGATAATAGCCATGCTGTACAATACACATAATTATTAAACAACATGTTCGAATGATTAGTACAGATCTCCTAAAGTAGCTTTATACAGTTGTTTGTTATTCTCAACATTGAAGTGCATCATATTATATGAATAGTCTTAGTCTTGATATCATAGGTGATCTGATACATTGTTACAGTGATTTAACACATACAGTACATACAGTAAGGTCAACCTTAACCAAACTTATTAGAGGGACATTGCAAAGCCCTTAAATAGAATAGATATAGTCAGATCAAATGATAAACTTATAAAATGGTATGCAGCAGAATGATAAAACTATACACGACTGTCATACCAGATTAGGGTGGCATTTTCTTTTACATTGCTGAGTTTTGTTTTTGCACAGAAAATTATCTACATGAAGCTGCTCTCAAGAGGAAAGAGCAGCCCCAAAAAAAAAAAAACCAAGAAAGAAAAAAAAACATCTCTGCCTTCAAACAGAAGGTCAACATCTTGCATGCATTATTTTAGAAGTAGTAGAAATGTCAAATCATCGGATAAATGTCAAAATCATAAACGTCAACACCTGCATGCAGCAACAATGGTTATAAAGTTAACATTAGCGTACCTCCTGACCTCGCACCCTCACACATCAAAATCATAAGGCATGCCTCACTCGACTCCTTCACAACCATACTTTAAACTGCAGATAAATCCTTTGAAAAAACGGCTATGGATTCCCTTCTTGTTTACCTTCATGTGGTCATTGTTGAATGAAACCTGCAAAGAAAAGCAAAGTTTTTCAGTCTCGCGGCCTTCTCATGCTGACGCTCTAAAGCTTTCATTGATACAATTCCATAAGTCGGGTCATTTATAATTTGTGCCAACTGGCGTGTAACACATTTATCAACAAATCCCTTTGAATAATTGAAGACTTACTCAGCAGACAGGCTGCTCAGTTTGTGTTCCTCTGGCGGAGGTTCTTGTCCTTGTGGTTGTTGGTTGAATTAGTTTTCCTTAAACGAGACAGAAAACACCACATCAGTTCACAGCGCACATTTTTAAAATGTGCTTATAAGTGCTCAAATATCTAACCAAATGAGGGAGTAGATTATAAGTGTTCAAAGATTTATCAAATACAATCCTATAGAATATCATTAGTTTACAGATTTTAAAATCATCAATTTGAAGAATAACTTTAAGCATTTTTTATACTAAGACAGAATTTAACATGGAAAAAAAAGGTAACATTTAAAGGGTGCTTCACTGGTTCCACACACACAGTAAGTACATCTCTGATTAGATGATCAGTGTTAGCAGGGGAAGTCTCTACTGATCAATAATGACAATTATCATTTGACTTCTAGTGGAAACTAAACAGCTCTTTACTCTGACACATATTCTGTTGTTTGACTTTGGAGGAGGTATACCAGGTCAGGGTCCAGTTACACTTCCTGAACTGGTCTTTGTTTTTTAAATTAAAAAATACAAAGCTAAGGCCCTCACTCTGTTTTTATACACAGAGGGTTTTAAGTTTGTAAGCAGCTTTAAGGACAGAATCTTCCTCCAACTTCTCTTCTAAAAGATGTTTTATATTCACTTGAGTGTTTATAGACAAGTAGGAGTAACAGTTATTGACAAAACACGACATGGTCTCTTCTGTTAGGTTATAATGAAATTATAACAGATCATTTGTTGGCTCTGACTTCATTGTGTACGACACTGTGGGATGGAAAAAGCATTGATTTGTTTTAAATCAGAATGTTTTAAGAGCATCATAGGTGGGACAGTTCAGCTGGATGCTTGTCTCATACACCAAAAATAAAAAACGGCCTTAATTTGACCATGACTTTCTCTTTGATACGTGGGAATGCAGCAAAACTCCAACACATGACGCTCCCGGTTGTTTGTGACCCAGATTTGAGGAGAACTGAGCTCTAAAGACAGTGAGGACTCGAGGAGTGGAGACTTGTTGATAAGCTACAATAAAAAATAAAAAAAACATAGAAGACACTAGAGATAGTGTAATGAAGATACGATGGTGATACTTACACAGGTCCTGCTGGGTCATCATCTGAGGCAACAAGGGAAAATGTGGAGAAACATCAGAAAAATGAAATTATCGCAGGGAGTTGCACACGTGGATGAAGTGATAAGAGTTTATTTTCTATTTTTTTATTTATTTTTTTTATCAGAAAGCATCAATAGTAGAAACATGGAACAGCAGCTGTGACAAACGTCATGTTTTGGATCAGTTCTATGTTTCATGTTTGACCCCAAAGGTAAACTGTGACATGGGATGAAAACAGACGCATCAAAAACAAAAAACAAAAAACATGCTGCAGAAACAACATCTCATAAAGTCATTCACATTTACACTGAATGCAGTCAAGTGCGGCACAACACAGATTTTTAAAAATGCATGAGCAAGTGAGTACTTTACATACAGACAGAATTAGAATTTAAAAAAAAAAATACTGTTGTCATGCAGTGCTCACAAAGAACAGCTGTTCACTCAGAGAGCTTAGTGAGAAGCAGCTCGGTTAATATCAGCCCACTACTGAAGGTATGAAAGTCACTGACGCAAACACTGACTGCAGAAATGATTCAAAAACACAAACATCCTTCACACTTCTTTGCATGCCATTTTTAAAAGCTTGTGTGTTCTGCAAATATATGGAAGTCACTGCTTTTAAATTCACTGAAAATCCTCAACTGCACGTCACGCTAACGTTGCCTAACAGAAGTGCGTGCTGTGCTGTGATTTAGAACACGATGAGGCTGAATGCTTATTGAAATTCATGACGCATGCCGAGACTCAAACTTACCACAAACACGGTTTAGGTTATGCAATTAAAGGGGGGGGGGGGGGGAGGGTATGGAGGGGAGATATTACAACAATCTTGTAAAATATTCAACAGCCTAATTTATAGAAAATGCAAGTAAATAATAAATTATTAAGATTTCATGCGAGAATTTGCTGCATGACTCACGCAGTCCACATCCATTTTGTGAGACTGTGAGGATTCTCAAGGTGACCCAAACACGTCTAGAAAATCTGCAACACTTCATTTCTGATCATTGATTGAACCGTGATGACTATTTGTCGCCGTGCAGTGTCACTGACAGCTCTGAGCTGTCAGTCATCCGCTGCACGCTGCATCTAATCAGCACGAGACAACATCTAAATTCTGTTTGAAAGGAAAGGTCGTCCAAATATCATTAATGCGTTATTTATGATACAGCTAGCCCCCCTGAAAATGAAGTACTCAGAAGTATTAGAAAACCCCCCCCCCAAGATGGCATGCGCAGGTTATAGAGCTGAAAGAGTGTCTCGTGGTTTAGGTTGCTGCTGCAGCTTTGGGGACAGCATAAGGTCCCTGGAAAGCCATTCATAATTGAAGCTGTCCACCTGCACAACACTACAGTATCATATTTCTAATTAATATTAAATGTATGAAATGGTCCTGACAAGGTGCAACCTTCTGCAACAGTGTCTGCATGTTGGGTCAACAAGAGCAGGGCTGAATTATTGAACGCAGACCCCGTCAACAGTGTCATGTGACCCTGCTGGTGTCTGTGGCAAAGGAATGACTTCAGCACACAGCGACTAGAACGTGTCACAGTCGTCTCGATGACATAGTTTGTGGACACAGAAAGACCCCACAGAAAGAGTTGCAGACTGAACATTAATAACACCTTCCCCTCATTATACATTACAAACAGTAGGATAATATAACGCTGGTGACTCACCGTCTTGCAAATCGTCGGGCTTCTTGCGCTTCTCATAAACCACTATGATGATGACCAGGATGATGATCTCAGCCAAAACCCCCAGGAGAGGCCATAAGGGGGCCAGGTGGCTGCGGACCCTCAGCACAGACTTCTCCTCGCGGGAGCCGATCATGTTGGTGGCGTTGCAACTGTACTCGCCCGGGTCCAAACCAATGTCCAGGTCCACGATGTGGAGCTCGGTGTAATTGTCTCTGCTGCTGACGAAGAAGCGTCCAGTAGTGTTGTCAACTTCCTACCGAGGTAGAAGAGAGAAGCTGGCTAAACAAAATCACTTTCTCCAGTTTGAATATTCTGTTATATCTGTTTGTTTGTTTGTTGTTTGTTGTAATATATTATTTTATGTGCTGATGTGAAAAACCTGAATGAAAGAACCGCTCCCGTGACATTCAGTATTTACAGTAATAGTGTTGTAGGCCGCAGCATCCACGAGACGAGCAGATAAGAATGCAGCTTTAGAAAAAATTGCAGCTGAAGCTAAAGTGGATTTTAGCCTCTTCAGCTCAATGTTTCCCCTCTGCTTGGCAGTTAGTTGATGATAAGTGGATTGTCTTCTTACACCGGTTTGTTTGTGTACAGGTGTACTAAACTTAGGTAAAAAAGCAGCAATAACAAGATACAGGCTACAGGTGGCTTTAGTTTTTTTCTTATCGGAAAGTATCATTGAACTTAAATATCAGTTTTTACAGGAAAATATGTATACATGTACAGCACAAACCAGGATATTCAAATGACAGAGTTCATGCTACTGACATCTTTATACATTTCTTGAGTGCTATTAGAGCGACTCATGCTTGTCTCAGTTTCCTTTATGGACAGGGTTCATAACGGTATCAGAGAAGAAGTGATGTAAACCTACAGATGTCAGTGTGAGTTTGTGGGACTTTGTATCTGGACTTTCTGGAGTCTTCCTTTTATACAGAGCACATAAAGCCAGAGTATTTCCTGTGTCTTTGGGGGTGTGGCCACCTACAAGTGCGATATAACCAAGAAAACCCGACCTCCTGTTGTCTGTGGTCAGTCTCCTGTTGATTTAAATTCCTTTACAGAAAGAACTGTGATTTGATAGTCCAGGCTTTAGGGTCTAAGTAAGCAAGAGCTAAAAACTGAATTTAGATGTTGCGGCAAAAAACTAGTCAACATGCAAATGAAATATAAACTCAGAGACAACTCATCATTAAATAGTCGTGCAATTCAAAGCCCAGACATTAAAGTCTACCTTTACATTAGGAACGTTTTGATTGACACTGTACTAAGTGAAATGTGAGTGTCATAGGAATTATAGATTACACTGGGGTGGAACTGGACTGGGGTGAATCTTTGTCCTCTCAGGAAACAAAGTGTATATAAGTGTAATAACATTGAGATGTTTCTCATTTTTGGTCCACCTAATCTACTTAGGTGGGACGGCTGTGGCTCAGTGGTATAGTCTCAACTGGAAGGCTGGGAGTTCAATCCCCAGCTCTTGCAGCCACATGTCCGGTGTGTCCTTGGGCAAGACACTTAACCCCAAGTTGCTCCCGCTGCGTATGAATGTGTATCCTAGCATCAGTTACTTCTGATGGTCACTTTACATGTAAACCTCTGCTAACAGTGTGTGAACAGGTAGGTGTGACCTGCAGGGTAAAAAAAAGCTTTGGGTAGACAGAAGACTAGAAAAGCACTGTACAAGCTCAAGTCCATTTACCATGACTTCTATCACAAGGGAAGACTATAACAAACACATTTCACTATTATGCACTATCACCTCGACTTAAGACCTGTACAATTTGCAGAAGATCTGTTGCATTGGATTGTATTCAGATGTAAATGGAATTCTTATCAAGTGACTGGAGAGTGTATAATCATTTCACATACCCTATAAACGCCATTTTCGAATTTGCGCCAGGTCCACACAGGGTGAGGGTAGCCTACAGACTTGCAGTAGAGTATAGCACGCTGACCCTCATTCTTATTCTCACTACGCTTGTGGCCTGTGATGTCAGGAGCAGCTAAAACAGAATAACAAAATAACAGAGGTCAATTGTTAGAACACATTCAAGAAATTCACAAAAGATAGCAACAGGTCTTATGTGCACGAGGGGATATACATTTTAACGCTGTTGCCATGGCGGTGATTTGTTTGACATGAAACAGGAAGTATTTTCAGGGCCTTTAAATACTTATAGGCACACAATTTGCCAGACACGGCCCCCCAGGGGGGGAGGGAGGTGAATGTAGATGTTTGAGTTGGGTTTTGTCTGTAGGTTTGGCAAAATAGCTCAGTGGCGCCTCCTATAAAATTTACAATAATAAGCACGTTGAATCTAGGATTATGAGATTTGGTAGGCAAATGTACCTTGCCTAGACGTACAGAAAAGCCTCTTGGACCCATCTAGTTAACTTAACAGGAATTATAGTTTAAAATTTAAATTGACGGGGAGGAGTGGTTAGTAGTAAGGAGCCTGGAGTCCTTTAAGCAGGCGGCCTGGGTTCAAGTCCGATATGTGGCTCCATTCCCACATGTCATTCCCCACTCTCTCCCTCCTCTGTTTCTTACTTTATCCACTGTCCTATCTCTGAATAAAAGGCATAAAAAGACCCAAAGAAATACACCTTAAAATATGTCAAAGTTAATGGTCAAACATTGTGTATTTTTGGCCATTTCCAGGGGTCAATATTTGACTACATGACCCAAAAAGCTCTTTTAGGATTTAGGAAGATAAAATAAAGTCAAACTGGAATTACAGCTGCAGGAATATAAATTAATCTGCTGACTGTTTACAATAGTAAACAGTAAAAAAAAAATCTTAATATTTAAAGACTGAATTCTATAGACTTAACTTCTTAAATCCAGAGAGTAATATGGGATGTCCTGAAATTCCACCTTTTGTCCTTCCAACAACCTTCAAACCCCCCCTCTTCAATTACTAATATTCATGAAAAAGAAAATCATGTAGGCCTTATATAATGCTGGATATTTTGTCTCGTAAAATTACTGAAAAGATTCATTCGTTAATAATAAAATACCGGGGAGTTCATTTTTAAATAAGGTTAATTCCATTGAAGGTTAGTATAAATGACTGAGGACATTTGTCTTCTGTGTGAACTGAAGACACATTTTATAAATTATATCTTATCATTTGTATCTGAAACTTGGGATCAAATTTAATACAGCAGCCAGCTTTATTCTGTGTTTTGTCTATATTCAATTCAATTCAATTCAATTTATTTGTATAGCGTCAACTCATAACAAGTGTTATCTCTATATGACTATTTTATTCAGGCAGTAAATCTTTGTTTCTTGAAATGCCCCATAAAAATCAAAGCAAACTGTCACAAAATCCAAATGGCGTTGCATGTGACAGCAGAAAGGCAGAGCAGATTTTACCGTTGAGACATAATCCCTTTGCCATCAGACAAACAAGACACCATCTGCTACCACTGAGCCGGGCATTGCTTAGATGGAGGTGTCAAGGGCGCTGACTGCCCCTGAGCAGCCAGCAGAGCCATTTGAAATCACAAGTCCTCACATGACAGGGCTGCTGGTGCTCAAGGCCACTCTGGCCACATTTATTATCTCCAACAAGGCCTTAAAAATGACAAAAATAAAAAATAAATAAAAGAAAGCCTGCAGCTCACAAATCAACACCTACATTTAACCTCGATGGTCGCGTTGGCTGGAGGAGTCATCTCGAAGGTGTAGACACACATGTACACTCCGGCATCGTCTCCTCTTGGTCTTTTCACCCTGCAGAGCAAAAACTTCTCATGAACACCCAACAGGCTGCTGAACTCTGTTATTAGCATGCACACACGTGAACATTTAGAGAAGTGTTATGTAGACTCCCACTTGTACTCCGTGTTCCTGTTTGGGCCGCGCGTTTCTGGGATCTCCTCCCCGTTCTTCATCCAGTAGCTCTCCTGGTGGACGCTGTGGGCGCTGGTCAGGTTGCACTGCAGTGTGAAAGAGTCGCCTTCCAGGAGGGGAAGTGTGGTTTGCTCAGAGGCGGTGATTGACGGCTCTGTAAGAGAGATACACATCAGCGCCAGCACAAGTGATGCTTGCTGGAACTCGTAGGCGGGGGGGGGGGATGTAAAAAGCAACACACGAAGGGTTCAGACAGACACCACAGCCAACACACTTTATACAATATAGAGCAGGAAAAGCACTGCAAAGTGGGAGGAATTATTTTGGGAATTAGGGCTTCCTTAAGTAGAAGTCATCCTCTGCATCATTAGCTGAAGGTAGAAGTAGAAACAGTTCCAAAGCTCTGGCAGGGAGATGAAACTCTCTGAGCTGAATTATCAGTACCAAAGATGAGACACTGCATTAGAAAATATCATGGCCTTGATAATAAAATGAATACAAGTAAGAAGAGTACAAGACCATGTCCGTAGAAGAGGTAAGTAGAGAGGTCAACTACAGCTCCCAGGGTGCATTTCAGTAAGAATAATCTGATAGTTGAGCCTAAATTTCTGTGAGAAGGAGCTAATTTATATCAATGTACACCTGAGTCTAACACAAAAGAGTCAATGGTTTAACGTATTCCTGCTTGGAAACAGTGAGAATGACTCTAAGTTAAGGTTCAATTAGCAACTTTCTCGACTGTTCTTTGAAGAGGGAAAAGGCTCAATTTAAATTCAATAAGAAACAATTGAAAATACTTTTACCTCATTTAAAGTCAACCTGTGAAAAATCCCCACATGGATTAGCTTTTAAACCATGAAGACCTTGATTGGAGTGTTGTATTCTGCTTAATCCTGATTATCTACATCTTGTTTGCACATGCAGCCAGCAGTAAACATCTCAATCGGAGTCATAAGCTGAAACAGGAGATTTGTATTTGGCACCGTCCTGAGGAACCTTTTTTTACTTTCCTTGTTCAGAAGAAAATAAACACACATGGATAAAAATATCCCATTTGTGAAAACTCTCCTGACCTTAACACTTTGAGCAGTTACTTTGTTTCATGATACATTAGGAACTATCTGAATCAAAGGATACATTAACAAAGTGTATTTACATTCATACATATATCTCTTTTTTGTTAGTGCAGAAAAGTATTGAGATTTGACTGCCAGAGTGAGAACAGGCGTTTCAGTTTTTGTTTCAATTTGATGAAAGACAGTTTGTGAAGATACATCTGTATGACAATAATTAATCTTAGTCCAGAAAAACACACAGTCTTTTCTGCAGGTTTTGATCGTTTAAAATTCAGAAATGTTAGCTTGTGCCTTTTATACAAAGGCAGTATATATACAATATATTTGGTAAAAATCTGGTGTGAAAGATCAGTTGATCTGCAAAATTTGAAATATTGAAACAAGGAACTAAAACACGTGACAACAAAAACAACAATCAGAAGACAATGGTAAACTGAAAACAAAGATATTCAGTGCAGGGAAATGAGAAGATGAGAGCTATAGGGGATAATTAGAAGCGGGAGTGGAAACAGAGCAGAAAGAGATCGGGCTCTGCAGGTCGGAGGGTTGAAGAACTTAAGGACTAGTTGATGAGGGTTTCTTTGTTTTCTGAAGCTTGTAGGGGAGGATGGCATCAACAGAGGAAGCTAGTGGTCCTCTCGAGAGGTCTGAGGGAGGCTGAATCACACGGGAGCTGGTAAATTTGGTTGCCAACAGGGTGGGTTGGGTGTGTGTGTGTGAGGGGGGGGAGATCCTCTACACTGACCACTCACTCTGTAGCACCGTTATGGTGGCCTGAGCACGGATCCAGGTAGTGGCTGGATTTTGGTGCAGGTCGTTACGCCGCGGGTCATTGCTCGCTCTGCACTCGTAGGTCCCGGAATCGTCCAGCATCACACGAGAGACTCCCAACACGCTAACCGCGTTGGCACCATAGGCTGTGTTGATGGACACCCGCCGCTTACGGGCGCCGTCCCACAGCTGCCGGAAGGAATCGGCTCGGTTGATCTCAGAGTACCACCACTGGATTTCTGGCGTGGGGTTTCCCACCACGTCACAGTACAGCTCAAAGGTGTCCCCTGTGAGCTTGGTTTCAGAGAGAGGAGATTTCACGAAGCCCGCTGGGGGTGGGGGTGGTGTTTTTTGTTTCCGTTTTTTGGGGGGGGATGGAGGAGGGGGCAGCATGTCCACGAAGAAAAAGAGGTAAAGGATGGAAAAAAAATAGAGGGATGAATTACACAGGAAAAGGAAAGAAACTGAAAATGATTAAATGAAATAATCAAGAAAAACACTGAAAGACAATCGATTAGAACAAAAGATGAAGAAGAAGAAAATGTGAAATAAAACATTGAGCTGTAGCTAACTTTTCTGTTTCAATTGATTCTGTTGCTACTTTCTTGATTGACTGATTCATTGTTTAGCCCTGAAATATCTAATAATGTCAAACACAATTTCAAATCTCTACTCCCTGTGCAAAGGGGGACCAGGAGGCTGAGACACAAACATATTCACTTCTCTATTATAGAAAACCAGGAAACTGTACAGCTTATAAAAGTAGGTAGTGAAAGTAGCTCCAACAGGAAACATAGCAGCCCGACCCTTCGCTGTGAAAACATCAACGTTTTAGGATGGGGTATATTTTTTTGGTCAAACAAGACAGAGAAAGAGACGACCTGAGTGAGATCTGCCTCCGCCGCTACTGCTGCTATTCCGAGGACGCTTTTAATTAAATTCTATTGGGACGTCCTTGTCAGAGCTGCTCTCACTTGATTTTGTCAAATTAATGACATTATATAAATTTCTGCCTGGATCGCACAGGGCTCACACCCAAAAAGTCCTCCGAGTGACCTTGTCGTTTACGTTACATCCTATCTGTGAAATGAAAACACTATTTAGGGAAGCATCGGAGCGGAACACGGAGACCAAGCACACTGCAGGGATTATTTCTCTGGATGGCAACGTCTCCGCGTCTGAACTGAATGTAATGGAGGTGAAACAATTGATCATGGCTACACAGAGAGGATGAGGAGGAGGAAGGGTTTATAATCAGAAGCATGGTCTATAGGCACTGTGGCGGGCACACGAGATTGAGAGGAGATTTATAGAAGCTACAGCTCCAGGTCTCTGGGGAGTGTGTGGGCGCACGGTGATAGACCCCCTCTGTTTCCATAGAAGCACCCTACGGCAACCAAGTAGGAAGCGAGGAGTCGGCCAATGGAACAGGACGATCATCACAATCACGTTTTTTTTTTTTTTAACTCTGCTGTAGAGCCCACAACTGGCTCGTCAATACAACACATTTACAGTACGCTATAATAGATTCCTATACAGTGCTCAAGTACACCTAGGTCATATAATGCATCCTATAAGCAACAGTCCTGCAATGATCCAACATTCACAAAGGCTCTAATGGTCCCGTTTAGAGAGGAGATGCCTTTACCCTCATTTATATAAATAGGGTGGACATAACAAGCTGTCAACCTGCAGCCTGCAGACTGAGCTTGCATTTGATGTCGCTCCTCTCTTAAAACAGCACAAAAAAAAAAAATCAGTGTACACAACAAGTACCAGTAAATAACATGACAGTGTTTGAAGAAAAACAACTCAGCTATAACCAGGGAACTGCTGAGAGACAGACCCTGTCACCTCGGATGCTCTAGATGTGTCAAAAGTGCTGAGCCAGAAGCGCCATCCCCGCACGCCTGTGCACTGTACATGTATGAAACACGTCACGCATGGCACGCCGATGTCACTTTAGCTTTGGTATGTGTGGCTCTTACAGTGTGAATGAAACTATAAAGACTACATTTTGTTTATTATGGCCAGAAATCGTCCTGAGAAACTTACTTTGACTTACTAAAATGTTATGTTTCTTTGTATTCTCGCCTCCAGCCCCCCACGACCCCGAACGGGGAAAGCAGTATAGATAATTGATGGATGAATGGATAGATGGAGTCTCAGTATTTTTTACAATCGATAATCAACATGTCTTTTCTAAAATGTGATCGATCTGCGAGACAAAATCTTAATCACAATTCATTCAAACAAAAAGGTGACATGGCTTAATATGGCCCAGCTAAAATTACTATTTCACCCTTTGACAATTGAAAAATTGTTGACAATTAGTATTGTAAATATGTTTTTGTGAATGGCATATAACTTAAAAATAATATAACTAACTTGCTTTGCATTATTTTGATGGTGTTATTTCTATTTGATATTGGCTTAAATATATTCAATGCTCAGTCATATATTAAAATATTGTGTTTACAGTTTCTTTTATCCTCAAAGTTTAAATGTTTTTGATTGTTACAACAGAATGACTAGAGATGCTTATTTCTGCTCCATGCGGGTCAAACTATAACTCTAACATTACAGCCATGAATGTTTCCTTGCAGACTTTTTTCTCCAGCTCTCTCCCAGAATCCATTTAAACCAGTGTATCATGAAGCAACTCTGACCACTGTCCCAGTTAATGTACCAAAAACTATTGCATCATATATTGTGGAGCTAAATTAATGCAGAACCAGAGCCTGGCAGACAGTAACAGTTTACAGAGAGTCATTATAGAGTATATCAAAATCTTGAAGAAAAAAATTCTTGTTTTTTCTAAATTAGGATTAATTTAAGATAGGATTAAATATAACAGGTGATATCAGGTGAGAATTGGCACATTAAGAGATTAAATAATTTAGTCAGTTAACAAAATAATCTTTAGCACTGATTTCCAATTCATGTTTTTTTTGGAGACTGAACATTTAATCAGAAAAGTAAGCAAGTAATCAATGGATCAATCAATAGTGAAGAACATCTATATATTCCAGATCAAACATTAGACCTTATAATTTCAGGCGTAGGATGAGTTGTCTTTTTTTTTTTTAGGTCATTGTCATTTCAAAATGTTTATCTTCGACATGATGCCCTGACTGTTCATCTTTAAATCTTCACTGTTTGCTTACTCATGAATTAGTACAGACCCGAGAATGATTATCCCTAAATGTTCACTTTCTATAAACCATTCACAGATGAGGTAACTGGATACCCCGTTTGCATTTATTAGATAGCCTACTTAAATTATTTCATCATTACTAACAGCTTCTTTACGCAGAATGAACTACAAATGCAGATCTCAGACTCAGCTAGAATTATGACAATTAATAGCATAATAATAATAATAATAAATGTAACAAATATATTTACAGCACACTGTGGACCGCTCTGAAACCATCTCGCCTCTTTAGACTCACTAGAAAACACTTTCCAGCCACCAGTCTGATGAACAGCCATTTAACCAGCATTGTGAGGTTCTTCTGCTGGAGCGCTGATTGAAGAAGAGATGTCACGGGTGGGTGTGCACTGTGCAGTATAGGAGGAGGAGGAGGAGATGTGTGATGCATTCCTACACATGGTCAACTCCAGCGATATGCCAAGGCTGAAAATTCTCCCTCATTCTAACATAAAGCTTCCAAGAAGAAGAAAACCAAATAGACCCACTAAACACTCGGCTGAGACGGGGGTTCACATTGCACTTAACTGGTTGCTGCTGGGGATGAGATTTATGAGCAGAGGGGTCATTAGGACAAGAACAACCGTGCTGAGAAATCAATGCCATCCTGCGGTGCACTGCATCTCAACGAAGAGTTAACAGATTCACTGTTGCAAGAGGACATTAAAGCCATGATTCCCAGTGCAGCATATCTGCTCTAAAAATAGAAGCATGCAGCAAAATGGACTGATGCTATTTACAGAGCCGCACATCTTCAGAGGTCCTTCATCTAATTGCATACATGCTACGCTCTGTTACAGAGAGCTGGAGTGATGCAGGGATTTATCTCACCCAGTGGGAGAGGATACACTGCTGGATACTAAATCCTGAATTCCCCAGCTTCATCCTGACATACCTGTTCAAACCCCAGAGCATGCTGATTGTATGTGCCTGTGTACATCTCTCAGGAAAGAGATTTTTTTTTACCCATTATGCACATTTTTTCCAATCCCGACAACCACATTAACTCTTAAATTGTCCTTGCTGATTGGACGGCTCGTGCATTCAGCTCTATAGCCTACTTCAAAAGGACATAACAGGGACACCGCACAGGCCTTCGTTTGGCCCACTTCAGCCTGCAACGAAAACAGATTGTAGCCTATTAATGTTTTATTGGCCCTTCGTTTCAAAAGCCCCCCCCCCCCCCCCCGAAAAAAAACAGCGCTTCATTCGATTATTATGCGTCTCTTTAAGTGAAGCATTTGGGGATTATCTACGGACACTTGGCTGCTGGAGAGACAGTCGTGACGGAATGACAGCGTTCTTAATAACAGAAAACGTCTTGCGAGGTTTCATTAAAAATGCCCTAATGCAGAAGCGACATCCTTGCAAAACAAATTTTCGCCATGATGTGAGATTGGCGTATTTTTTTTTTTCTTTCCAATGAGAGGACAGTTCATTTTCCTACCGTTCTGGGATGAGACGGACTGCAGCATGAGCGCTCCAAATACCGCCAAGGAGAAGGACATGACTGCAGCTCTTCGTTTGCCAGGTATCATCTTCGGAGACGGGGAGATGGAAAATGCCGGTAGACGAGCTGCTGAGGTGAACCTGAAACGGGATACGGTGATGCTGGGTGGATTCGCCGAAGACACGCCAGCAAGTGTTCGCGCAGAGAGAGGGGAAGTGTCGCTGGGGTAGACTGGCAGGACTTCCGCTGGGTACCTGTGCAGCTCTCTGTGCTGCCTGTCAGCCCGGTGCAGTAAGGGAACCACCTTTTTTAAACCCGTGTTATCTGAAATCTCGCGAGATGTTGGGGGGGGGGGGGGGGGGAGCGCAGACCATGGTGCACGCAGCTGAGACAAGCGGACACTTCGCTGCGAAGCGTCCCAAGTAGATCTGAAATCAATTAGAAAAAGAAACACAATCAAAAAAGAAACGATGTAGGACAGTATTTATTCTCAAGCGTTTCAACATAAGCATTAAACAATGGCATCACGTGCAAACATTGTATATTTTCTAGATTAACCCATGTTTAAGATAGCCCTTTTTAGCCCTCCCCCTTGTGTGAGTGAAATAAAGGCCTAATGTAGGTTACATAACCTAGTAGGTCTACTGCAATGGTTATCTGCAATCTAATGAGGCAATTATAGGCCTGTATAACATTAATTGAGTCCACTTTTGACCAGAACATTGCTTCACCAGTTTTCACAGCCAAACATAGACAAGCAGCCTGTTCCCTTGTATATAGAATTAACCAACTCAAGACCAACCGTAGCCTAGGCTATATCGTGCTTAATACATCAAGGCTTTAAATGGTGCAGTTGGTCAAGAGGCTTCACAGGCCAACTAAGCCCTGACCTCACACGAGCTGAGGCTTTAAGTAGACTTTTAATCCTATTTCTCTTTGAACTAATATATGGGGTAATGGCATGGCGGCCTCACACCTACAACACAGTGTAACCTTTGCTGTTTAAATACGCTGAGGCAATAATTTATTGAGCCTGTAGTTGACTGGCCTCAACTAGTAAAAGGCAAGGGACATAGCATATAGACAAGACATCAAGCTGTTCTCTAATGGCTAATGCTCATATAGACTATATTACTCTAAACGTTATGACCAGTTTGTCACAATGACTATTGGATTATTATGGTGTCCCTAAAATTCATGTGAATACAACTGTGAGAAAAAATAATTAATAATTAATTAAAAACAGTGGAAAGTATAATTCAGAAAAAAAAAATACATTTGGACACTTAGCTATTTTAAGTTACATGTCCGAAAAGGAGTGGGAAGAAGTAAACACTAATTGAAACACTCCTTCGTCTATTCAGCTACCGTGTATTTTATTTGTAAATTAAGACTATAAATTAAAAAAAAAAAAAAAATTGACTTCTTACATAAAATCTCACCATGTAAAACTGTCTTTCAGTTTAATTCACACTTAAAATGCTGATGTTATTTACTTTCGCTTTGCAGACACCATGCAGCATACAGTTTTTTGAGGTTTGTGTGAACGTGACTGATGTCAGTTTACTTGAGAAGCCACAGGAAACGTCTTAGCACATAGCTACAGTATATTATTTTCGTAATGTTGTCATCTCTAACAAAATTCAGAGTTTGTGTTGTGATTTGGTAAAGCAGGATTTTTACAGACAACATCTCTGTGCTCTCCAAAGTATGATTCATCTTTTAAAGAGTATAAAGTGATAACTTTGTAGATTCTCGTCTTCAAATAATGTTTAGATGGAGGTTATTTCTATGTTTTTCTGGGTTGGGTTGAAAAGAATGGCTTTGAAAGTTCAACGTTAATGTGAGAGGTTGACCAAAAGTGCTGAGAAGAAACTCCCACAGTATAAACAGACAAGGGAAGCAGAAGTGCGGGAAAGTAGACAATTTCACCTCCTCAACAACAGAGAGTATTTTTTAAGTATTCTCATTTTAAGGTAGGTCATTTTTTAATCTTAATATACAAATCCTATCAGGTGACAACTTAACCTAATTAGTTCCAGGTTTTATTAAATATAATGTATTATTATATATTACATTCAATAATGGTGTTTTGTGGTAACTGTGATAAATGTCTATAACATTTTTCTTACAATTCAACACTTGGGTCTCCTTTATAATATTCCATAAATACAAATGATATCAAAATAGGTTTTATTATACATTTATTTAATTATTCTATAACTACAATGGAAGATTAGGGCCACGTTAAAATTTTGATTTCCAGATCAAACTCGTAAATTTATGAGAATAATATCGAAAATTTAGGAGTTCGAGACCAAACACGAAAATTATGAAAGTAGAACTCTTAAAGTATTTTCCTATAAGAAGATTTACTTTATTGAAATTTCAGTTTTTACACTCTGTAGTCATGCAACACACACATAGGCTGAAGTATATATATACAGACATGCACACAAACAGGATCCTATGGACATGCACACTAAGTGTCTCATGTGCAGAGACCATTTGTGTCCTGTTCATACATCATTTTACAGATAAACAAGGTCTTGCAAGTTGAAGTATAAACTTCTCTGTTTTTTCTACACGAGGAAGTAGCTTTTTCTTATATGTGAACCCTTCACTAAAGTATAACAAGATGCACCACGTGAGTCATTTGAGAACAGGCTGCTGCTGTGCTTCTGATATAGACTCAAATAATGACTTTTTTCTTTAAAGTCTAGAAGAGTTCTCCTTTTATCAGCGCAGGCTGGTCTCGAACTCAAATTTACGAGATTATTCTCGCAATTTTATTTGTTTTCCTCAATTACTTTCAAGGCAGAAATATGGTTTAGTGTGTGCCGCCAACACGTTAAGTGACCCAATGAACCAAGACATACGAGGGCTCATCTGAATCATCCCTTACATTTCAATGTCCTTTTCATCTGGCATTATTTTTCTAGATTACCATCATCATCATGGGAGCAAAGGGAAATCTGATTGCAGGACTCAAAAAGGAGTTAGAAAAACGTCCAGTTGTGTCGAACTTGATTTTTGGCTTCATCATGACCGGCGTGGAGAAGATGTTGGAGGTGGATTTTGCTTGCCCTTGTAATCCCACTTGGAACGGTGCGTTTGTTGCCCCATTTTTCCTTCTTCCTGCCTGCACAGCTTCTTCACTCATGCTGCTGATTCACGGCTGCAGTGGGTATGAGAGTGTTTTGTGTAGCTTTCTCCCTCCCATTGTGTGGCTGGCTCTGATGTTCCTGGATGGACAATACCTGGTCTGTGCAATGACAGGCTGGCCAGGCACGTTTGTTACTGCCCAAAATACTTACCTGAAATGGTGTAAACCGATCAATGCAGCAAACCATGCAACAATGCTGAATCAATCACACAGGTTCTACATTCTTTCTCAGGTAAGAGATGGATGAATAAAGCATTCACTGTCCATGAAATAGCCATGCATGACAATGTCGATGCTGATGTTTGTATGTAACTAAAATCTCTGTTAATTACCTACTTTTTAGGGTTTCGGAAATTGCATCGTCGCATTTTTACTCGTCGTACTGATTGCATATATGGTATGCACAAGAGGCAAGAGGGAAAAAGATGAGAAGAATCCTGAAACCATCTCCCTTAAATAATCACCAAAGACCCAAAAGAGACACAAATGACAAAATGTTTTGTTTTACTATGTAAATATTGAAATGATATTAATATGCTATGATATAGAGCCCGGCCGATTAATCGGCCGATATTAGCGTATTCAGTGACTATCAGAATTGGCTAATGTTATCGCAGATATGCGACAGTGTGTGTGTGTGTGTGTGTGTGTGTAGGGATGTAATAAATTACATTCATTACGTTCATAATTTACATTATTCTACTTATCTACGCTTTCAAATGTTCATTTTCTAAGAAAGAAATAACATTGTAATTGATTTTTGCTTTGATACTTTTGATTTTTTAAATATGATGTCTGTGTCTCAAAATAATGTGTTTGATCATATAGTGTAATGTGTAAACTTCCATTAAAAATAAAATAAAATATTAACTGCTCTAACTGCCTGTGATGGTCAATGATATTCATCAGTAAAGCAGTTTCAGTTTTCCCTTTTAGTATGGCTGTCACTTAAAGTCTGGATTCATACATTGAAAGTTCAGTGAGAACATGATGTCACTCATGGGACCCTGAGAAGATCAGACAGTTGTTTCTCATGCAACCTAAATGTCTTTAACCACATCATGCATCACCCATAATACCACAGTCCTCTTGAAATGAATAATCTTTCACACTGAGTGACTAATTATAGAGATGACTTCCTGTTCATCTGCCTGCTGATTGTTACACCATATATCTGCAGCAAGACACACTTCAGCTTTGTTTATGAGTCTTAAGTTTTTGACCCTAATTGTCGTAAACCAGCCTGTTACTTTGACATCTAAGACAAATTGAAATATTAAAGGCAGAGCACATCTTAAAGTCGCTGCAATCACTTTTTGGCAAAGGTAGCAGTGTGCTTGTATAGCTCCATCAAGATATTTCAATTGGTAAAAATATGGCTGAGTGGTAGAGTCGGTTATCTCTGAACTGGAAGGTAGGGGATTCCATTCCCAGCTCCTGCAGCCACATGTCCAATGTGTCCTTGGGCAAGATACATGACCCAAGTTGCTCCCGCTGCTTCACAGCTGCGTCTGAATGTGAATGAATGGATTAGTTAATACTGACAGACACTTTACATTGCAGCCTCTGTCATCACCAGTGTGTGAAGGTATGATCTGTCTGAAGTCAGTGTGAGTTAACGTGTTAAGGTAGCAGGTAATATTAAAAGGTATTCACTTTAAGCCGGTGGGAGGGGATGATGGCGTTTATATCTTGCTACTGTGCAACTGGTAAATGAAGTGACAATCCCTGAGTAAAGAAACACCTTCTTTATGTTTCCATGGAATTAAAGAAATTGTCTGATGAGTAAAGTATCCAAGGCACTCCTGTTCCAGTTCCATTACAAAGGTTAAAAAATATTTTTAAAATGACAGGATTTTAGAGTGATGTGGTTACTAAGTTGAACTTTTTTTAACTAAAAAGTTTCATAATTTGCCAAAACTAAACTCTTGCAGCTAAAGATCCATGGTCCACACTGAACACTTGCAGCCTTTAGGCAGAGGATGCTAACACTAAATGTAAAAGCTGAAAAGTGAAGAGACTTTTTCCTGTGATTGATTTGCAGAATTCTTTAGCAAAATTATCAGGAAAGTTTAGAAACTTGGACAGCAATTTGTCGATGTTCGGAGTGAAACTTATTTCTTAAATTATTTAGATGCTAACTGTCATGAACTCCATATTACAATGTTACAAAGCTATTGGTTTAGGTTACCAGGGACTTCAGAAATTCAACAGGATAAGTGAACAATGAACATAGATGTTAAAACAAAACTTTTTTATCAGACAAATATTGTAAATTACCCTTTTTCAAAGAAATAAAAAGTACAGTCCATATGTTCCTGTAAAGATGCTTTCACAATTTCATCTCACAGTGTAGGAAAGTTTGACGTGCTCTCATTCATTCAACCTCTATTTATACTCGAAAGATCATTGAGGGCCAACCCTCATTTACAATAACATCAAGTCATTACAGGAATAATTAGAAAACATTAAATCAAAAAGAAAAACAGGGGACAGATAATACAAGACTGCTGAAATCAGTCTACAAAAGTCTAAAATTTAAGTAGATAATTAAGCGATAGCAATAAACAAACACACTCATGTAAATAAGGAAAAGCTGATTTTCCCAGTTCCGATTTGACTCGAGGAACATTCAACAGTAAACGTCTTGAGGAACGTGTCTCGTAATGCCCAGTCGAAAGATGGATAAGTTCTGTCAGATATGAGAGTAATTCTTCTGTGAGAGCTTTATAAATAAAAAGATGCCAGCGCATATCACGTCTTTCTGTTAGAGATGACCATCCAACCTTGTTGTACAAGATACAATGATGTGTATCATTGGGGTCACCTGTAATAAATCTTAATACACAGTGGTAGACAGAGTCGAGACGTTTAAGCGTTGTGGCAGGTGCATGCCTATAAATAATATCACCATAGTCCAAGACTGACATAAAAACAGACTCCACAACCCTCTTCCTACAGAACATTGGAAACATTGGAACATCTTCCTATAAGATTATTAATGTTGAAGTTAAATGTCAGTCTTTCATAAATCCACATGCCCAGATATTCATATTCTGTGACTCTCTCAATCAATAGCCCATTTCTGGCAACTATCTTGATGTTGTTTTCGTTCATTTCTGTAGCTCTCGAGAAAAGCATACATTTAGTTTTGTCAGCATTAAAGGACTGACATGATGATCATAGTGGTTGGGTTAAAAAGGAGGCTTTCTTTAAAACAACAGAAATGTGGAATCAATTCGGTCGATCCCGACGATACCCTGATCAGAGCATCACTAATGTCCTTGGCTACCCGACTCTCCACCAATAGGTTCTGGATTCTGAAGTCCTATCAGTCTTTGTGCTGCTGTGGTTCTTGGCTTGTACAACCAAACACCAAAGTTCTGGCTCCAGTAAGACCAGTAGGACACATATCTGTCATTTAGGGTATCCTGCAGTACATTAAAAGACTGCTGCAAATTTGTGTGACATTGTTGTCACACGATGTGGGATCTAGGCTGACGTTCTCAAAGAGGTTACCAGCTGCCACAAAATGTGTGTTAAAGACTTGACAAACTTCTTTTTGATCAGAGAGAAGGAGGTCATTCACCGTGATCTGATTTTGAATGGTCAAGCTTTTGTTCTTATTTGTGTTTGCAGCTTTACAGCTCATGACGTGGAAGAACTTCAGTTTAGGCAGTGGTGGGTGAGAGGGAGGAGAAGTCTTCAGTGATGGTAACTGTTTCTGCTGTAAAATCACTAAAACATTAAAGGAAGAATGTTGTGACTTTTGATCCAGTAGATGTCGACCTTGAGCACTAGCATTAAACCAAAGCAAACAACAAACTGCCAGTCTGAAGCCTCCACTCTCCTCCAGCGACACACCTCTAACCCCTCTCCACTCGCGTTCGCACAAAGGAGTTACCAATTGGAACGGACCATAATTAATCATCATTAAGCACAGCAGCGGACAGAATTCTCGTGGCTTCACATTACACATAAATTGACACAGAATGACCGTGATCAAAAGACACTTAAGTGACATCCACATAAGCAGTTAGTAGGCTATGCTATTCTTCTTTTCTCTAGTCCTTGACTAAAACAGCTTTATAAGCAAGGTCGTCCCGTCCATGTAAACATGATGTAAACACGGTTCCCACAAAAACACAGCTGGCGGGACTCACGTTTCTCACTCATTGTAGACAGTCATGACTCAGAGAGTCATTTACAGACGATGTACTTAATTTCTGCTGTATTTATGTGTAAACTGTCGCACATTCTGCCTTTAAAAGGGAAATTTTCGCAAGACAAAAACAACAAAGGAAAATGATATGTTGACATCTTAACGAGCAGTGAAGAGTATAATGAAACCTTTGCTCAGCTTGGACAACCCCTTTGCAATGCGCATGTGGAAACTGGTTATAGGTTCATTGACCAGAAACACACAATAAATAGGCCAAGTTGCTATGGTGAATGGTGACTCCTGAAGAATGGACAGCAGAAGAGACATACATCAGTCATTAAACAGGCATAAGAGAAAGTATTCTTGAGAGAGAAAACCTGAGAAGAGCTCATTTTAAAGTCCTATCATAATTCTGCTGAACGCATATAGGTGTGGTTTTCATGGACAGAAATTTGACAAGGGATGCAAAAGTGCTCTCACATGGTTTGCTTGAGAAACTTCTGGTTTTGTTTGAAATTTCAGAAGACAGTTTGTTCAGCACTTCTGTTACCTTGAAGCTCTTTGTGCCAAACCATGATGATCTAAATCGGAGATAAAATAGATTTTTTGCAACATCGGAGCAGTATAAAGCAGTTGGTCAAGCTCCTCTTGCATTCGGCCCCGTGCACCTAACGTTTTGTCAATTGTTTTCAATGAGGAGACAGCGTTATCAGCAGAAAGTCGCTGCCCCGGACAAAAAAGTGCAGCTCCCAGCGTCTTTTTTTTTATGCTTCTACTGGCAAAAGTGTGATGTAGTATATCACCACCAAGTAGCCTATACCTTCAAGTAGATGGTTTATTATGTAGAGTGAAAATTATGGAGTTACACAAATATTTTTGGTAGACTTTGGAGATATCTTCAACTCTTTGTGATATAAAAGTCAAACTAAAGCTTAAAAGATTAACGTCTTGTTAACAATTTGAAGCTTAATTGAAGTAAAAGAATGCTGAAGTGAATGTTTTTTTAATAGAAAAGCTGAATGTTATAGAAAGTATAAAATGTGGAAATGTAGAAAAGTCCTAGCTGTCATGTACTTAAAGAGGTGAACAATTTGATGGCTGAATTCCACATTGCCCCTAAAACAAGTAAGCTATGTTTAGTTTTAAATTAGTTTAGGAGCAACTTTGTAAACACGTTTTCTTCATTTAATAAATGCATTGCTTTTTATATTATTTCTTTGTTGAAATAAGTCATTGTAGTTCTTCTGTATTTGTTTGTGAGTTACCTGGCCGTTGTTGTCTTCTCTCGTTTGGCTAACGCTAAGGACAGATTCTTGTTCTTCCTCCCATTTCATGGCGTCTGGCCCTCAGCTTTTTATGTGAATTACCGCCACCTACTGTTTACATGATGTCCCTTTCTACTTTCTCTTGCTCTTAATCTTTCTCTGGAGTATATCTGGCATTGTAAAATAACATGGTCTTCTGATTCCTCTACCTGGGAGTGTTGACAAGAAAACTAAGTGGCGTGTTTTATTATTGTTATAATATTCTTGTAGACTGACTAATATTTTCTTTGTGCTCGTTATATTTGCTGTTCCCACTTTCAGCTATAAATTGTAAAGGTGTCTAAATGCCTGTGGTGCATGTGTCTCAAATGCTCTGCCGTTCTTCCCTAATGTTGTCTTTGATTATTCTTTACCTTCTGAATTGATACTTCCATGTTATCCAGTTTTTTTTA